TTTTTTTTTATCAAAACAGCTTTATGATAAAACAAAGTCAATAAATCTGTTTTCCAGGACGATCACGACAACTATCAACTCCTGAAAACGACTTTATAGAATTCACTTTCAATTAAAAACGGATTCGGTAATTATGTTTTTATTATAAAAACTAAATCTTTATTTACACTTTTGTTTTATTATTGCTGACACTGGGAAAAGTAAGGAAAGCAGAGGTACTAACTCCAATTTTTCGTTGAAAACACGGTTGATGAATCCACTTTTAATTAAAAACATAATTGTTGAACTTGTTTTAAAAAAATATCGTGATTTGATATATAAATTCAAAATTATCATATTTCAATAAAATTGTTTTAAAAAAAAATCATAATTTGGTAAATAATGCGAGATATAAAGCTTCTCGAGATATAAAGCTATAAACAGAGTGAAGACTAAATCTCGATCTTCATTGAGAGAGAGAGAGAGAGAGAGAGTTGGATCTCCAAGTCACCCACTACACAGACGGGTTACTTCTGACGACATACTTTCTATCTGATCCACTGTTCTTCCTCATCCCAACACAGACAGGTCTTTTTTCTTATCTAATTCCTTAAAAATTCTTTGAGTTAGGTTATTTCAACTATGAATTTAACGTTAAGACTATTGATAATTTGCGTCTTCTCATGAATCTTCTGGTGTATATATGCTGCTAATTTCTTACTATTATTCCAATTTGTTGATGGGTATGTTTCATGCATGAGGGTTTTTGTAAATTGTGGTGGAGCTGGTGCTATTTTTCAGTATTTTTCATTGTGGTTGCAATGCATTGATGGGTCTTGAGGATTTACGTTGTTATTTCTATTACTTTTAGCATTCGTGTTCAATTGGGTATCGATTCACATTACACTTCGTGGGTTCAGCTGGTGATGACCTCCTAATGCGTAAGATTACTGTTCGACTATGATGTTCTATAATTTTGTGCAAAAATATTTTTGGTTTAATTTCACTTTGTTTGATTGGAAATAAAAAAAACATGGATGCTCACAATTTCTTTGTAACTCTCTCTCTCTTTCTCTCACACACACACATACATGCAGAAACACACACACATACTTAATATAAAATGTTTTTTCTAATTTCATTCACCTTTTTTNAACTTACAACTCACTTCTTTGTCATCCATAAAAATGTTTTGATTATATTAATTAGTTGTCTAAGTTGGAAAAAAGATTAAGTTGTATTAAAAATACAAAAGGCCGTCAAAGTATATAAAATAATAAAAATAAGTTGAAAAATATTTCACAAAAAGATTATGCTAGAAAATGAGGTTATTTAATCCATTTTATTAAATTTTTTTTTATCAAAACAGCTTTATGATAAAACAAAGTCAATAAATCTGTTTTTCAGGACGATCACGACAACTATCAACTCCTGAAAACGACTTTATAGAATTCACTTTCAATTAAAAACGGATTCGGTAATTATGTTTTTATTATAAAAACTAAATCTTTATTTACACTTTTGTTTTATTATTGCTGACACTGGGAAAAGTAAGGAAAGCAGAGGTACTAACTCCAATTTTTCGTTGAAAACACGGTTGATGAATCCACTTTTAATTAAAAACATAATTGTTGAACTTGTTTTAAAAAAATATCGTGATTTGATATATAAATTCAACATTATCATATTTCAATAAAATTGTTTTAAAAAAAAATCATAATTTGGTAAATAATGCGAGATATAAAGCTTCTCGAGATATAAAGCTATAAACAGAGTGAAGACTAAATCTCGATCTTCATTGAGAGAGAGAGAGAGAGAGAGAGTTGGATCTCCAAGTCACCCACTACACAGACGGGTTACTTCTGACGACATACTTTCTATCTGATCCACTGTTCTTCCTCATCCCAACACAGACAGGTCTTTTTTCTTATCTAATTCCTTAAAAATTCTTTGAGTTAGGTTATTTCAACTATGAATTTAACGTTAAGACTATTGATAATTTGCGTCTTCTCATGAATCTTCTGGTGTATATATGCTGCTAATTTCTTACTATTATTCCAATTTGTTGATGGGTATGTTTCATGCATGAGGGTTTTTGTAAATTGTGGTGGAGCTGGTGCTATTTTTCAGTATTTTTCATTGTGGTTGCAATGCATTGATGGGTCTTGAGGATTTACGTTGTTATTTCTATTACTTTTAGCATTCGTGTTCAATTGGGTATCGATTCACATTACACTTCGTGGGTTCAGCTGGTGATGACCTCCTAATGCGTAAGATTACTGTTCGACTATGATGTTCTATAATTTTGTGCAAAAATATTTTTGGTTTAATTTCACTTTGTTTGATTGGAAATAAAAAAAACATGGATGCTCACAATTTCTTTGTAACTCTCTCTCTCTTTCTCTCACACACACACATACATGCAGAAACACACACACATACTTAATATAAAATGTTTTTTCTAATTTCATTCACCTTTTTTATTTTTATTTTTTTACTTTTTTCATGTGCATTTCCCTTTTTTTTTGTGGGGACCACTGTTTCAGTGGTGAATAACCTTGAAATTGTGGGTTCGAGCAGGGCAACCACTTTATGTAAATAATATCAAATGTTTGAGGTCTGTATCCAATCCGCCCTCCCAAGAGCCCATTAAGTGGGTCTGATGATAATTTTTTTATTTTGAGTTTCCAAAATCGTGAAATTACTCTGCGATGATCAGAATTTAATCAGTTAATGTGATTCTCCCACTAAAATATGTCACCACTTGTTGGCTATTGAATACTCAAAGTGTACATTGTTAATTTAGTTATGAGGAGTTATAGTTTTCCTTGGATATCAACATGTTTGTGGATTACATTGGAACAGTAACTAAAAATTCCTTAAAAAGATTGTAAATTGGAAACTGTCGTAATTCTGTACTACTTGAAATTCTGAAATCTTCCCTAAAAGAAAAATAATCTCAAAGTCGGGAACCATCTTCATTAAAGCCTTAGCTTAACATGAATTTTAGAGTCATNAAGGTTACTTCTGACTACATACTTTCTATCTGATCCACTGTTCTTCCTCATCCCAACACAGACAGGTCTTTTTTCTTATCTAATTCCTTAAAAATTCTTTGAGTTAGGTTATTTCAACTATGAATTTAACGTTAAGACTATTGATAATTTGCGTCTTCTCATGAATCTTCTGGTGTATATATGCTGCTAATTTCTTACTATTATTCCAATTTGTTGATGGGTATGTTTCATGCATGAGGGTTTTTGTAAATTGTGGTGGAGCTGGTGCTATTTTTCAGTATTTTTCATTGTGGTTGCAATGCATTGATGGGTCTTGAGGATTTACGTTGTTATTTCTATTACTTTTAGCATTCGTGTTCAATTGGGTATCGATTCACATTACACTTCGTGGGTTCAGCTGGTGATGACCTCCTAATGCGTAAGATTACTGTTCGACTATGATGTTCTATAATTTTGTGCAAAAATATTTTTGGTTTAATTTCACTTTGTTTGATTGGAAATAAAAAAAACATGGATGCTCACAATTTCTTTGTAACTCTCTCTCTCTTTCTCTCACACACACACATACATGCAGAAACACACACACATACTTAATATAAAATGTTTTTTCTAATTTCATTCACCTTTTTTTACTTTTTTCATGTGCATTTCCCTTTTTTTTTGTGGGGACCACTGTTTCAGTGGTGAATAACCTTGAAATTGTGGGTTCGAGCAGGGCAACCACTTTATGTAAATAATATCAAATGTTTGAGGTCTGTATCCAATCCGCCCTCCCAAGAGCCCATTAAGTGGGTCTGATGATAATTTTTTTATTTTGAGTTTCCAAAATCGTGAAATTACTCTGCGATGATCAGAATTTAATCAGTTAATGTGATTCTCCCACTAAAATATGTCACCACTTGTTGGCTATTGAATACTCAAAGTGTACATTGTTAATTTAGTTATGAGGAGTTATAGTTTTCCTTGGATATCAACATGTTTGTGGATTACATTGGAACAGTAACTAAAAATTCCTTAAAAAGATTGTAAATTGGAAACTGTCGTAATTCTGTACTACTTGAAATTCTGAAATCTTCCCTAAAAGAAAAATAATCTCAAAGTCGGGAACCATCTTCATTAAAGCCTTAGCTTAACATGAATTTTAGAGTCATTTTGAATTGTCTATTCTGAATGAAAAAGGTGGTGCTAGATAATTCTTGTAGAGTAAACCTCGTCGGTATATTATGTCCACATCCCCAACCAAAGGAAGAAAATTGGAAAGATATTGTTAGAGAGTAGGACTTCAGTATAATTCATGTAGCAGAATAAGATTCTAAGGAGCATAACTTGAACATTTACATGTTGGAAACTGTTAGAAAATCATTTAATCAGTTTTTAGAAAAGTTTACTTTCTGCTTGGTACTTTTTAATCTAGGACAGCAGCTTCTGTAGTTGCTCTGTGGTGGACAATGCTTCTTATCAATGATTATTTGATGCAATGAGACTTCTGGGACTTTCTTTTTGACTGAACTCCTTAAACCATGACCATTTTTTGTGGTTTTCCTCAGGTGTCAGTGTCTGATAAGGGATTTATTTACCATGCAACAAGTAGTGACATAGCCGTAAGAAATTCCGATGTGACCGCATTTGAAGTTTTAGTCTTGAAGTACTCTGAAATCTTCTTCTAAAAGTTCCAAATTCCTTGGTCATTTTGGAATGAAGTGTTTGTGGCCTTTATTGTTTGTAGGGGTATGCTAGTGCTTCTTGTGTCTCAAAATTGTTTAATGGGGAAATTGGTCTCGTGGACTTAATTAGGCCAAAAATGGTGCGATGATTGGGAGGCACGATATATGTGTTTAGATGCAGAGTTTAAATAATTGCAATGGGTAAAGAAAATTCGCCACAAACTATTATTGGTGGAGTCAGTGGTGAAGTTTGCTCACGAATTGGGATTGAAGATTGCGGAACTTATTCTCTATCACGTCATAGTATAGACAAGGAGGCAGGCTTGTCAACTTGTCGTGTGTGCCAATGTTCTGAATCTGACAAAAGAGGAGATGCTGCTTTGGGATTTCTGGGTATCACTCCACCATCACGAAATGCACATGCAAGCAATGAGAAGGTGAAGCCTAATTGTATAGATGTTTTGGAAAATGGTGAAACTGTTTCCCACACTAAAACTGGCAGAAGGGAATCTGGATTTCTTGAATTCGTGAGCCCTAAAGGGGAGGTTTTCGTTTGTAATACTGATATAGAAAAGGGTTTTGATCTTAATCAAGACATATTATTTGAGCTTGGTTGTGCTTGTAAAAATGATCTTGCACTAGTACATTATGCTTGTGCGCTTAAATGGTTTGTGAACCATGGATCGACGGTTTGTGAAATTTGTGGTTGTGTTGCAAAAACAATTAGAATTGGGGACTTCAAGAAAGTTATGGGTTCTTTGAAGGATTATGAAGCATTAAGGGTGAGGACTGCCAATGGGGAACCTAATCCAGCACAGGTGCAGACAAATACCGCTGTAGATCCTGATGTTGTTGCTGCTATTCGAAGGCAAAGGTTAAGTGAAGTTTTCTTGTGGTTTAATCCACATAATAACAACAATTCTGCCACAGTTTCACAAGTGGTTACTGAACAACCGTCTAATGTCATTGCTGAAGAAGTTGTCCCCGGTGAAAATCCTGCAACAAAATGGGCTGTGGAGGGTACCGGGATCCTGCTTGCTACAGGGCTGCTTACTGTAACTCTGGCATGGCTTATTGCTCCTCGTGTTGGAAAGGTACGTAATTGACATTGTGTTGGTAAGACGACATATTCTGGAAACTCCTGAGTTTTATATAGTTGTAGTTTTTTTCTGCAATATGGGGTCTGGTCTCCATAAATTAGTGCTGAAAAATGGCACTAAAGATATCTGGTAGACATGGGTTTTGATCAATGGACTGCAATAAAATATCTCTGAAATCACTGAAATCAACAATACATCTATTATTTTGTCCAAGTAAAAGTATGCCTACCTTTTTTGGCATACATGACTCCTTGAATTTTGTTTGATCTTGTGACTCTAAGTAGACTATATTGAAGTTGTAAACAAATAAAAAAGGATAAGAGGGTGGTATAATGGCATGTCGTCGAGGATCAAAATTTTGTTTTGTTATATTGTTTCGGGCACCTAGGAAACAGAAACATTTCAACGTGTTTCGGAAACGTTTCGACCCGTTTCGAAAACATAATGAAAAAAATTAAAAATTTAAGAATTATTTATCTAAAACATTAATTAAAATATCTCGAAATACTTTAAAACATTTTGAAACAATTTTTGAAAATCTCGAAATATTAGAATTTCGATTCCAACACTGATTTGTTTTGTTCCCCTTGGAAATGGAAACGTTTCAACCGTTTCGAAATGATATTTTGATCCTTGCATGTCGCTCTAATAAACTATTTTCTTTTGTGGTTTCATTATGCTTAAAGGAAAGAGAACATTCTGCAAGCAATAGAGCATTTGTATCTGTTCCGCAAGGGACTTATTTTAATGGATGGAGGAGCTTTTCGAATCTTGTGGACAGTCTCTTGATGTATGGTGGTAACTTGGTGATTAGGATACTCCTTTGTGTGCTAGTGAAGAATCGAAGCATTGCAGAGATGAATGATAGAAGCTTGAAGCTGTGAAACCAAAAGTAAGAGACGTTGGATCCTATGTTTATGGTGAGTGGAAGAATATTGTGGTTTGCGTAAGGGAGAGTCTTTTCGTTCCTTGGTGATGGATTCAAAAGGGTTTGGCTAATAAGCTTAAATTCAACGTTATTCATTTCAGCTTTATAAGGCTGTCTTATGTGAAAATGAGAATCATGCTCAAGCCATTTACTGCGATGACATGATCTTCTTGGAGGAGGCTGATAAGGTGAGATTATCTAAGTGGGTTTTGAGTCAAATTCATGAAGGGATAGGATGCCTTTTCTGGGAGAATGGATTGTGATTGAAGGTTTACCCTTTCATTTGTGGAAAGAAGACATCATTTGGAAGATTGGTGGATTTGTGAAGCTGGATCAAAAGATTCTTTTGAGACTTGGTGCTTAAGTCAGCAGAAGATTTTGCATGGTAAGCATGAAGATTGTGTAGACAGGTGGCTAGCATCCAAAAAGGGAAGTAGTATAGTGTTATAATGGAACGCAAGAAAATAGGAGTGGATTTGGGTGGAATAAGAACATGTTAATTCTGGAAATTGGATCTGGTACTATTTTTTTTTTTTTGGGGGGGGGGTGGTTAATTGCAATCTCTAGTTATTTAAGGATGATTCAAATTTGGATAAAATTTTCACGGACCCTTGACCTTTCCTCAAACTACACAACTCACTGACATTTCAATAATGGTAGGGCGACACCTTGACATTTGCAAACAGTGCCCCCCTTCATCTAATAGATCTTAGGATGAGTACAAATAAATGATGATGTCCGCCCAGAAAATTCAAATAATTCCAAATATACCCCTCTATTGAGACCAATATTTGTAAAGTGATTGTACCCAATTATCATATGAAAAGAAAATTATATCCCTTCTAATTGATAAGATAATATATAGTCTTAGCCAACACTAAAGCTACCGAATTTTGTTAATTTTTAATTCATCCCAAAATTTAGGTCAAATCTATTCAGTTACTTTAAAGTACTAAATTTAATCAATTAGTTAACTAAAATTTGTCCATGAATTTAAGCTATATTTAATTAATTTCTTTGATTAAATTAATTTTTATCTCTAAAATAGGCTAAATATAATCACTTTTAGCAATTTAGTTAATTTCATCCTAAAATTTAGACTTAACCTAATCAATCCCATTAACACAACAAATTTTGTCCTAAAAGTCAAATTAAACCTAATTAATTTTTTTGATTAAGTTAAATTTGTTATCAAATTTAAACCACATTTTCTCAATTCCAATGTAATTAGGTCTTGTTGAAGTTATACCCCATCACCTCCACCCACCACTACCAACCACTGTAATGTTGACATTCCCTAGTACAAATATCACCACATGTGACACTACCTATTCCAACAACCCAAGCCCACCACCAACACCTTTGCCGTCACCGAAACTCAAAATTAAGGAGTTGTTTGGTAATGTTTTTGTTTTTTGCGTCTTCAAAAAACCAAAAATAGAGATAATTTTTTTCTCTATTTTGTGGTAAACACTGAAACAGAAAAAAAGTTTGGTAGACATTTTTGTCTATCAAATTATGAGAATAAAAACATAAAACATATTTGGTAACTAGCTCAAATTTTATCCTAAATATGTTATATAATATCTCATTTTTTATTTTCAAACAAATCAACACTTTATTTTATGAAAAATGATTTACAACCGTGTATTAAAGACCTTTAACAAAGCACCAATCTTGCACAGCCAGATTTTCGAAATTGTGATTGAACAACAATAAACCAATGCTTGACTACAGATTTCAGTTGCATCAAGATTCACATACACAATTCTTTTCAAAGGGATGGTTGATCTTCTACAATAAAAGAATAGAAGATCCTTACTCTATTGCAACAGAATACATTGTAATTTCATATTCTAAAATAATCAAAAAGAAACCAGCAAGCTCAACACAGTAGCAATAAACAACAAAGACCAAAATTCCATAGCAGCAACCTTTCTCCAAGAATTTATCTCCTTGCAAACCAGCCTCATTCACACCTTAACATCCTCAGTGCAGCAGTATACTCCAGCACAGTTAACCATGATCATTAAAGACCAAAACACCGTATCAGTTGTTTCCATATCTACGTGTATCTGTCTATTGCTATTCAAATGTCATTCATCTCAATCCCAATCCCAATTCAATCTTAAATGACAGTTCAATCCTAAAGTAAATGGAAATTCAATTCCAATCTCAATCTCAATTCAATCACAAACACAACACACAACACACACATACACATACACAGAACACAATGCACACACACGCAGCACACAGACACACACACATCCAACACACAAAACACACACACACACACACACACCAAACACAGAATACACACGCAACACACAGATCTGTGCATATATGTGCACAGATGTGTGCACATATGCATATATGTGCACATATATGTATATATATACAGATTTGTGTGTATATATATAGAGAGAGCGAGGAGATGAGATGGGAGAGGGAGAAAGAGAGAGAGAAGGGGCTTACTTCCGTCGGTGAGAGTGAGGAGAGGAGATCTCGTCAGTGACGGTGAGAGAATGGAGAGAGTGAGGCAGCGATGGAGAGAAGAGAATAGAGAGAGTGAGGCAACGATGGAAAGGAGAGAGAAATGAGGTGGGTTTAAATAGATTCACGAAAAAAGACTATTTTTGTTGCTTAAGGGAGTTCGAAACCCGAATCTCATTAATATTTTTTAGCGCGTATTTCTGTTTCGCATGTTTCCTGGAACAAAAATTTTTTTTTTCCATTTTTTTGTCTTTGTCTCTAATATAACGAAAACAAAATAAAATCAAAAACAATTACCAAACATATTTTTGTTTTTATTTTTGACAAAAATTGAAAACAAAAACACAAAACATAGGACAAAAACAATTACCAAACAGCCCCTAAAACACTTCCATCGTTGTCGCACAACCGTCCTCCATAATTGTCACACAATCATCCTTCTCACAATATTAGCAAAGCACCCATGAGGAGTTTGGAGCCCTTGCACTTGATTGTCTTCACCACTATCCCCACTACCATGACACTCCGCTCGACCATTACCACCACCACCACCCACCAAAATTCCCCTTCCCTCCTTCAAAATAGCTGCTATAAGTCCCTTATCGAACCACCAAAATTGTTCCCCAAACTTCTATCATCCATGGTGCTACCAATAAACCTCCATTACCCACGACTTTGCATTGTCCGTCACCGTGGCGTTGGCACCAGATCCAAAAATAAATTCTCATTCTATGGGAAGGCGCTGGTAATTAGCGTGTATGTGTGTTGGGTGTAAGAAAGAAGATGATGAAGGGTGGGCAGGAGGGAGGGAGGGAGAGAGAGAGAGATAGAGAGAGAGGTGGGGTGCTATGGGGGAGGGAATGGGTTAGGGGTGGCAGGATCATGGGAGAGTGAGAGGTTGGGGGCAGTAGAATCATGCGGAGGCGGTGGATGAGGAAGGGGTAGGGTTTCTTTTGGGGAGTTGCTAGATTTAGAATTTAGATGGGATTTGGGTGTGGTTTCGGGTTAGGTTTACATTAGGATTGGGTATGAGCATGAATTTTGATCCATCTTCATTTGTCTATTTCTAATGATATAGAGGGGTGGAAAAGACTTTTCAGCCGATGCAAATTTGAGTTCGTTAGGCTGTTTTACACAATTGGAATCTAGACAGTCAATGTAACCTCTGATAAAGAACTTGGGCTTTTCCTAAGAAATATTAATGACGTCTAGTTAACTTTTGGGTCATCAGTTAACTTTTAGATCTTTAACTTGCCAATTGACTTAATCTGTAGTCTAGAATCACTGGGCCATTTCAACGCCAAACGATTGGATCAGTTTGAAGTTAATTTTGCCCCTATCCAAGTCCATTTAGCCCATGAGCCAATTTTTGTATTCGATATAACGAAGCTTAGGGCTAATTTGATTCACAAGGATGCGAAACTTGAAGGTCTCTATGGTCTGCAATGCAAGAGATGATTCTTAGGTTGTGAAATGGAGCAAGATGAACAAAGATCAAGGGATGCCTCCAAATAGAGAAGTGAAGAGGATGACTATAGTTAACTTAGCGAGGCGAGAGAAGATTTTGGGGATTTGGATGCGCTTGAATGGAGATTTCGATTTAAGGATGGAACCAATTGCTTCGTTGACGTCAATAATACTCCATTGGGTTCTGATGGGAGTCAGAGGTTATGACTGCACAACGGGTGGCTCTTGTAGTGAAGGCATGGCGTCTAAGTGAGGTTAGAAAGGATTGGATTTTGAATGTCAAATTGGGGGATTATTTGAGAATAACGAGTAAAGATATTTTAGGCTTCCATAGAAGAATACAATTAAAAAAATGAATGTTACTCTATATTTGTCACAATGAATGATTTATACTTATGCACAATAAGGTGTCATAAATATTGACTACAACTTTTAATGAGTCGTTGCTAGTGTCAACTAAATCTACGCACAATATATTGACAAATCTGTAGAAGCATGCTTGTTGAAAAATTGATTCATACCAAATCACGCCACCCACTTTTTCGTGTATGTTTACCACATTAATTATCTTCTACAACTAGAGGCAGACTATTTATTCAAGGCAAACTTTACATCTTGAACAACAACCATCTTTTTCAAGCCCCCTGAATAGCAACCATCTCCTTTGAGCTCCTTCAAGTCAATGTGTAGGTCCACTAAATTTATCACTTCCCTTAAACTAGGTTGGGGAGGTTGCTAGAGGCCTAATTTGATACACAACATATGAAATGAGGCAAGAGACTATGGTTTAGTAAGAATATCAACAACTTGGTTTTCAGAGGAGACAAAATGGATAATGGGATCTCGTTATGCTACCTTCTCACATCGGAAGTGACAATCAATTTCAATATATTTTGTAGAGGCATAAATATCAGATTGGAAGTTAGGTGCAAAGCCAAAACATTGTAACAATAGGGTTGGTGGTTGTGTTAAATAATTTTTTTGATAGGAATCATTTCAAAAACATCCGGTGTTTCATGAGCGTATCAAACATATTGAGCTTGACTAGCTTCATTTCAAACAACTTGGTTCATGAACCCTAATATCAATTTTATCATTATACTTTAATAAACTAGAAGGGTAAAATAGAGGGGTACATTGAAAAAGATTGGATAAGAAATCCAACTAAGATAAAAAAGATCAAATAAGAAACAAAAACATTGGAATCCTATAATTCACATGAGTCTCTCCATCATGCTTGGATGGTAAAAAGCAGAATTCCTTTAATTGCGTTAATGATTGATCAATATCAAGAAGGAAAAATTGTAGCCATGTTATTTTGGCTTCTGTAGAAGTAAGGGTAGAGTATTCAGCTTCTGCATTGGAACATGCTATAATAGGTTGTTTCTTGTCACTCCATGAAATGCAAGTAGGACCTAAAAAGGTACAAAATCCAGTGTCATGGATCGTCTTTTCATTTGACATCCACTCCAATCAGAATCGAAAAAGGCGTAGAGGTTAACAGTTTGAGATTACAACAAACAAAGGCCATGGCCAAGGGTGTTGTGTACATATCAAAGAATACTTTTCACTAGTTGAAAATGGAAGTTTGTTGGAGTATGAAGAAACTGACCAACATAGTTGACACTACATGACAAGTTGGATTTGCAATTGTAAGGGATTACTAGCCACTAACTGTGCTACTAAGAAGCATGAATGTAGACATGACATTTCTAAAAAAAATTAGGATACAAACACGTTGGGGACACATTGTAGATACTTGTGTTTTTTTTATATAAAACCATATAACTTATCGAAAATATAGTGATAATGTTATATTATTCATAAAAAATTTAGTACTTTATGATAAGTAAATTGTATGTCTAGTCATCTATTGTGAATTTTTAGACTAAACATTATAATAGTCAACAATTATCAAATTTTTTTTTGTAGAGAGCGTGTACCCAATATATATTATCAAAATGATTGGTCTCATTTTCTCAATTCTTATTTTTTGAAACTTTTATGCATCCTTTGCTTCTATTATTATATTTTGAGTACAAATATAGCATTCCTAGTCTTGACAATTATATGTTCTCTCATAATATAAGAAACTTATTTGTCAAGTTTTTAAGCTTTGCTAATAATATGTTGACACGTTTATTGTTTAGTAGACATGGTCTAAAGAAGTGTTAGGCATGTGTCCTAAATTAAATTTTATTTTTTAATTATGAACATGGATAAAAGAGTATCAGAACATGTCCAAGGAGTATCGGTGTTCGACACAGATATGTCACATTCTTGAAAATATTCGTGCTTCATAGCTGTGCTACAATCAAAATGAGAGTCAGGAAAGAGGGAGTCACTATTAGAGGAAGTTTGAGTTTCACCACTATTGGCATAGAAAGATTCGCAATTTCTTGTTTGTGCTCGATCAAGGAGTTCAACCACATACTTTTTTGATTGAGTATAATTTTACGGAAGGATCTTTGCAATTTAATTCCTTTAAAATAATGCAGATATTTCAAATCAAATTCATGATGCAATTTTGACACAAATGCACGTAAACAAGCAAAGTTGTTGTCCGCCAAAATTATATCATCTACATATAGTGGAAGAAGAATAATACCATGAGTGTCACAACATATAGATAGTGAAGAATCTGCTCTGATGCAAAAGAAGAAATGAACTAAATCGATCCAACCATGGCCTCGTGCCTTGTTTCATATTGTTGCGTATCAAACTAGGCCTCTGGCAATCTCCTCAGTCTAGTTTGGGGGAGTGATAAAGTTGGTGGACCTACACATTGACTTAAAGAGAGCTTGAAAGAGATGGTCTCTATTCAAGATGTAAGCTAGCCTAGAACAAATAGTATAGCTATTGAAGATATTTAATGTGGGAGACCTACATGTGAAAGCTGGTAGAGATTTGGCTTGATATCTAAAAAGATGTTTAAAGCTCACATAAAAAGGATAAAATTTGAAGAAATTAACTTTGTATGCTTCTATACATTTATCACAATCAATTGAGTTACACTTATATATCTATGGACAATATATTGGCAAACCTGTATAAGAATGCTTGTTGAAAATCCTCATTTCATGACACTTTTGATTGCTTTGTAACTGCCCAGCATTCTATACCATAAAGTACTACTGATCTAATGACCATATTATAGACCTTATCTTTCAATTATGAAATATATGTTGACCAAATAATAGACCGAATGCATTCTTGCACTTGGTCTGTCGTGCGTTAATCCTATGAGTATCATTGTGTCCACTCTCTCTCTCCTTATGCACGATTGACCCAAAATAGCTAAAGTACTCATTTAGTAGTACCTCTTGATTTTCAATTTTTACTTTCTTCATATTTGAAATTTCTCTTTTACTAAAATTGCATTCCACACATTTAGTTTGATTCTAAAGCTTCTCGCCAAATCCTTAATTTATTTCTAGTTTCTATTTTACTTTCATCAGTTACTGCTGTATTATTTTCAAATAACATACAACATGGGCTTTGTCCTAAATATGTCTAGTTAATTCATCCATAATTAAGTGAAAATGATGCGGTCTTAAAGCTGAACACTCATGTTAGCCTATAATGATTGAGAATTCACTATTCTTCATATAGCTGTTCCTACTAAAGTTGCTGTACAATGGTACATAACCTTAATCGTAGCAATATACCTAGTCGCAACTTTTCTTTTGTAGGAACCACCATATTATACTTCTAGGTATTAAATTATAGGCTTGCTTTAAGTCTATAAAAACCATAACTGATGTCCTTCTCTCTATACTCTAGATTAATCTTCTATGTAAATGTATAGCTTCCATTTTTGACCTCCTATGCACAAATCTAAATTGACACTCAAAGTACTTTTATTTCAAGGCATAGCCGTCACTTGATCACACTCTTCCAAAATTTCATTATATGCCTCGTTTGCTTTAGTGCAAATATTTTTTGCTTATGTATTACTGACATCAAGGAACAAAATTCCTTTTTCATGGAGACCGAAATGAATCATTGATTAAATATTAGAATTCTTGTGTTTTGAGATGTTTTGAGGTGTTTTGGTAGGTTTCAAGGTGTTTCGGCTAATGTTTTGAAAATAAATTTTTAAATTTTTCTTTTTTTCCATCTTATTTCCGAAATGTTTCCAAAATATTACCGAAACGTTTTATTTTCCAAGCTCACTGAAACTGTAAGCCAAAACGAAATTTTGATCTTTGATTGACATTTTCGTATGATTTTAAGAATATAGGAACCAAAATTTTATTTGCTCAAGGCCGAAACAATATATGCAGTTATTTTATTTTCTAATGCAAATCCTTCCAGTAACAATTAAAATTGAAAGAACTCTTGACTATTTTTGATATTTTTTTGATCGAGGCTGTACCAATGACAAAACTAAAAGAATAGCCACAAAGAAGAATGTTTCTATCACTTTTCTGTATTCTTTTTCTCTTCTCTCTCACCTCCGATTTTAGTTACAATCACATCATCAAGCACAACAATGTTGGAGTCCCGATTCATCCGTTACCTTGGCTTTCGATTTGAAACCATCACCGATTGCCTTCCCAACAGTCATCCTTGCGCCAGCGAGCGAGTCATGGACATTGTTCCTTCTTTGATAAATGTTACCGGACTATTGTTCAAGGACATGATGGTTGCCAGAAATCTATTAACTTCAGAAAATCGCTTGTCGATAACTTACATCATTGCAGATGGGATCTTTAGTTTTGCTATTGATTTTGTGGTAGATAAGGGGATTTCAATCGTTTACTTTTGAATTGTTTCTGCTTGTGAGGGACAGAGTGTGAGAGCAGTAGTTTGGGTGGGAATATAAAAAAAAAAATTGGGGAGTTAATTTTAGCCCTCAAATCAAATTTAGTGTATAATTTATCACGATTTGAGCAGCAAAAAATAAAAGTTAGTTCTTATGTTTTTGGAATTTGATGTCCTTTGTACTTTATTGTATTGATTTATTTTTTTTTTGAGTTTGTACAACTACAAAAGAGCCATAAAGCAAAATAATGCAGGAAGCAAGTAATATGTCATAGCGGCTCAATAGGGATGTGAAATAGTTTTACGAGCATTGGAGTCAATTTCAACTACCGTATGGAATAGAATTGTGAAAGTATCAGTCCTAGTATTTTTTTGACCACTTTCTAATAGTGGGTTAGAGCTTATATAAAATTTTGTAAGATATTATTTTCATGCACTACCATATTAATCTTTCTGATTCAAAGTTATCCTTGTTTCACTTTTGGAGCCAATTGTCCTTGCATTTGTTCATTTCTGTTATCGGTAAAATAAGAACCTTCAAATGCATTGAATACTTAACATGCTAGTTTACAAGTTTATTATTCTTGTAGTTGCTCTGATTATGTAATATATTAATTTGTTGTTGCTCTTTTCTCCCTCTTCAAATGAAAAGATGCTTTATCTGACCGTGCACTCTTTTCCTGCAGAAAACTGCAAAAAGTGGTCTTCATATTCTTCTTGGAGGCATCTGTGCTTTGACAGTTGTGGTCTTCTTTCGTTTTGTAAGCTGTTAAATACATTTGTTGGTCTTGCATCCTCATGCATCGCATTTATAAGACCTGAAATTATGGATTATGGTCAATTCTGTTAATCAATTACTCTCTTTTATTTGGTTTCTCTTTACAAGCAAAGGACAGCAAAAATAAAAGATATAACATTTCAAGATAGCCTTTCTACTCCTATGACATTGTTGAGAGCTGTTAATTATATTTTGTTTTCTTTAATTTCCAATATGTCTTTAACTTAATTTAGTGCTATGACAAGAAGTTGATGCAAGACAATTGGTATTAATGGAGGGCTTAATTAGGTCAGGGAATGTTTGTGGAATTATGGTCGTATGAGGTGAAACCAAATGGTTGTTACCTTTAGAGAAGAGAAAGGATTAGAATTGGCTTGATTTAGAGAGTAATTGGTTGCTGGAATTGCGGGGAATGAGTAGCAAGAAATTCTGGACAGCAATTAAATATGCTATTGGTGCTAGATGCGGGGTCAGAAAGACATGAGTAATTGGAAAACATAGGAGAGGAGGGGAAACTATNCAGGAAGCAAGTAATATGTCATAGCGGCTCAATAGGGATGTGAAATAGTTTTACGAGCATTGGAGTCAATTTCAACTACCGTATGGAATAGAATTGTGAAAGTATCAGTCCTAGTATTTTTTTGACCACTTTCTAATAGTGGGTTAGAGCTTATATAAAATTTTGTAAGATATTATTTTCATGCACTACCATATTAATCTTTCTGATTCAAAGTTATCCTTGTTTCACTTTTGGAGCCAATTGTCCTTGCATTTGTTCATTTCTGTTATCGGTAAAATAAGAACCTTCAAATGCATTGAATACTTAACATGCTAGTTTACAAGTTTATTATTCTTGTAGTTGCTCTGATTATGTAATATATTAATTTGTTGTTGCTCTTTTCTCCCTCTTCAAATGAAAAGATGCTTTATCTGACCGTGCACTCTTTTCCTGCAGAAAACTGCAAAAAGTGGTCTTCATATTCTTCTTGGAGGCATCTGTGCTTTGACAGTTGTGGTCTTCTTTCGTTTTGTAAGCTGTTAAATACATTTGTTGGTCTTGCATCCTCATGCATCGCATTTATAAGACCTGAAATTATGGATTATGGTCAATTCTGTTAATCAATTACTCTCTTTTATTTGGTTTCTCTTTACAAGCAAAGGACAGCAAAAATAAAAGATATAACATTTCAAGATAGCCTTTCTACTCCTATGACATTGTTGAGAGCTGTTAATTATATTTTGTTTTCTTTAATTTCCAATATGTCTTTAACTTAATTTAGTGCTATGACAAGAAGTTGATGCAAGACAATTGGTATTAATGGAGGGCTTAATTAGGTCAGGGAATGTTTGTGGAATTATGGTCGTATGAGGTGAAACCAAATGGTTGTTACCTTTAGAGAAGAGAAAGGATTAGAATTGGCTTGATTTAGAGAGTAATTGGTTGCTGGAATTGCGGGGAATGAGTAGCAAGAAATTCTGGACAGCAATTAAATATGCTATTGGTGCTAGATGCGGGGTCAGAAAGACATGAGTAATTGGAAAACATAGGAGAGGAGGGGAAACTATTTTAGTAATCCCGCTCATTAATTCTCTAGAAGTAACTGTTTGTTGTAAGGTTGAGAAGACTCAAATTTCACCTAGAATTCACTAGGTTTAACTATTTACGATATCAATTCTTAGGCACTCGTGCTTAAAAGAAGACCTGCAAGGCATCATAAACGAGATCTCTTCATTGACAATCCCATAGCATTAGAGAGCCATTATTTCCATATATTGCCAAGATTGTATATATTTTTTTTTTGTCTAGTTCATTGGTGGTAGCCCAGTCTTTTTTTTTTGGTAGGTTTTCATGCATTGTCGCTCGTACTTACTTCTGTATGATGTGATATTAGACAATGATTGGTAGTTCTCTCTTCTATAGTTTGATCAAAGTTTTTATGGTATCAGATCAAGGCCCCGTCCTTTTTCATTCACTTGTTCTCTCATCTGTTTTTTTGCTTCTTGAGCATTAATTGGTTCCGCTAAATCAGATTGCTAATTGCTATTTCTGTTCCTTCAGTCAAGTGTTCTTGTTTGGCCGTTGCTGTTGTCGATTTCTACAGGTATCTTTTGGAAAGAGAAGATTTGAATACTCAAATCAGACCATGTCGAAGGAGATGTGGCACTCTGTTGGCTTCATCGTTTACTGTGTTCCTCATTGTCGTCATGTTGTGTGCCATAATCGTTCTTGTTGCTGCACATTGTTCTCATTTTGTTGCTTTGAAGTGCTTCACTGGAATCGCTGGAGTTCGAAAACTTGATGCATTTTCACTGTCATTAGCCTCATCATTGGTGGCAATCTCTCTTGTTCTGCTGCTGCCACTACCTGAGTTCCTTGCTGCCTCTGCCTATTGAGGAGACGTTTATTTGATGTCTCAGTTGTTTTACTAAGGCAGGTTTAGAAGTTAGGTTCTGAAGTTGGTGAAAAGATCACCAGGTCTGCTCGTTAGACTTTGAAATTGGCAAGAAGAGAACCAGGTCTGCTGAGTTTATGTACTTGACCTGGGTTATTTAACCCGGCCCAATACATTTAATTTGCTCTAGGAGTGACCCTATTCTATGTTTTGTTTAAACTTGACCTAGAACTGAGGCTCCTGAAAAACTTCTGAAACTTGCTTGTCTACAAGTTTTTATTTTCCTTTTTGGGTCATGACTTGGCCACAAGTTGAAACTTCTGAATTTAAGCATCTTCCCCAAAGTTCTTCATAAATTATCTAATTATCTCAAAAGGTTTTTTGAAATTGCAGAATTGAAGCTATGCTTCATAGGACTGACCCCCGAATTCTCAAAAATTATAGAATTGATCCTAGAATTTTCAAAAATTGTAGAATTGACTCTAGAGCTTTCAATCATTGCACAATCCACCACCAGAGTCTTTAGAAATTTCAGAATTGNTTGTAGGACTGACCCCCGAATTCTCAAAAATTATAGAATTGATCCTAGAATTTTCAAAAATTGTAGAATTGACTCCAGAGCTTTCAATCATTGCACAATCCACCACCAGAGTCTTTAGAAATTTCAGAATTGACACCAGAGTTTCATAATATTTCAGGTAAGTCCTTGAATTTTCAGAAGTTGCATCAATTTTTTTAAAGTAAGTTTTGGCTACACCTTTGTGCGTTGACACTTTCTAGCTGCTTAGATCCTTGGCCAGGATTTTTCCTTTCTATTCTATTTAAGGCTATGGAAAATAAAAACTCAGCTTTACACTATCAGTAGACTAAGAAATACGAACACGGATATGGGACACGGGTCATGGATAAGACAAAACACGGACATATTGACATGACATTTTTCGAAAAAGTAGGACACGAACATGTTAGAGACACTATAGATAATAGTGTTTTTTATAAAATTATATAATTTATTGCAAATATAGTGATTGATATGTTTTCATAAAAAAGTCAGTACTTTTATGATATGTGAATATTATGTCTAGTCATTGTGAATTTTCAGACTAAAATATCTAATAATTAATAATCATCAATTATTTGTAGACAATGGGTACCAAACATATATAATTAAAATGAGTGCTCTCAATTTCTCAAGTTCACTTTTTAAAAACCTTTTATACATCTTTTATTTTTAATATTATATTTTAGTACAATTTTAATATGTCTAGACTTGGTAATTATATGTTCTCTTATAATAGAAGATACTTATTAGTCAAATTTTTAAGCTCTGTTAATCACTTGTCAACACGTTTATTATTTTTTGGAAGACACGTCAACATAAAAGTGTTGGACACGTGCCCAAAATTTAAATTTTATCATTTAATTAGAAACTTAGATAAAAGAATATCAGACATGTGTCCAACACAAATATGTCACATTCTTGAAAGTGTTCGTGATTCATAGTTAGTAGATAATCATAACCAATTAGTTGCTTTTTTTTACTTTATTTGTCGAGGAGTTGCAGAGATATCTTTCTACATATCAGCCAAATGTTTTATCTGATTATTCTCTTATAGGTTGGTCTTCATAAACTCTTTCAGGTATATCTCGTTCCACTTGAATATTTGATTCAGGTGTTTCACATCATATGACTGATGATCAGTCTTTGACTCTTGTATCGTATCTCTCGCTTCATCTTCTACTACTCCAGTTGTCTAATGGGACTTTTGTGTTTTTGGTAGGTGTAGGGACTGTGATGACTTTACTTTTCTCTTTCTGATGCTATTGTATTGCTCAACTATCTTTGAACTTAATTTCAAAGATAGTTTTGTGACAAACTCTCGATGCTTCCTCCATCACATTAGAGTTTGAGCGGGATTTAGGATTGTATTTATTATAATTCTTTTGTCTATTTCATTAGAGGTAGTGAATAGATATCACGATATTCGGATATACCCAAATGTCTCACGAACCAAGGTCTTCGTGATCCAGAACACCCAAATTATTTGACCCAAATCGACCCACGATACAATTAATCCCAAATTATAATCGTAACCCTAAATTGTAACCCAATTTGGTTATTTCCTTATTTTGGTGATTTTTAAATGTATGTTTTGATTTTGTTATATGAATTTTTTTCGTAGTACAAGTATGCAATCACTAGCCTTTGTTATTGAAAACCATTAGAAGATACGTTGTCTTGGAGTATGGTTCACTTTGAAATTCTTATCACAAATATAAATTATTATTGTGAGTTAACTAGGTGTATGTATGGATTTTTAGTAATATATAATATCAACTAATAGTGGAAAGGGATAAGATTTACAAAGCAAACCACAACCAAAAAGGCCATATAAACTAAGTCTACCCTATCGCTTTGTTTATCAGGGAAAAAGTATCATACCACTTACTTGTACCTGTCCCCTAACAAGTACTGCATATCAAACCAGCTCACGGTCCAAATACCATTGTGGTACCTTGTCTTTCTCTTCTAATAGGGTTTCATATAGCATCTCTTGTACCTATTCCTAAGTGATGGGATATTAGAGAATGACCGATACTTTTCTTTCATAGTTTGATCAAGTTTTCAAGGTAGGCTACTATTTTTCTCATGGTAGGTTTTCATATATATTCTCTATTGTAAATGGCATATTAGCGGATCACCAATAGTTCTCTCTATTACAGATTGATCTAAGTCCTCATTCTATAAACCTACAATAGACAACTAGAATGACCCAATAACATAACTTGAGTTAAGAAATAACCTTTGGCCTACGTACAACAAGCTTTCAAATATTCCAGGAATTGTCTCAGTACCTTTGAGTTCTAAAATTGTTCAAGTACAACAATTCTAGTAATATCAAACAAGCACAATCTTAATTCAAAACTTGATTTGACAAGAGCATAGGAGAGGTCCACATGAAATTTCAAAATTGGACCTTCTGCAAATCATGTTATATATCAATGTTGTTACTAAAAATATATTGTGCTTTAATCTCTCGAGCAAAACTTCATTGGGAAAAGGTGGTATTAAGTTTAAGGAAAGGTAGAAGATGAGGATCATGAGGCAGCTCAGATAGAGAGAGCATGAGTGTTTTGATATTCTATTGGTGTTTGTGAGAGTTTAGCTAAGGTGCCTAGCCCAATTCTATGTGCGATGTGATGCTCCATTTTCTGGGAGTCCCGATTAATTCGTTGAACACCCATCAATTCGCGGAATAACTTGTGATACCCTATTCACTGAGATCTATAATTTTAATAAAATCAGGGCAGAGTCTCCATTGTACAGAGAGCTCTACCTCGAAATCCAGAGAGGTGTTCTTGAAGACATGGCAGGCTCCAAGCTTACGCCCTTCTTTGCTATCAAATCATAGATCTTCCAGAGAAGACCAAAGCCAATGAGCTCACTTGATTCACGTCTGATCCTCCATTCTTTCTCATAGACTGATGTAGAAAAGAAATCACTTAAGGAAACATCCGGTGAATTCGCGACACTCCAGTACCAATGGACGTATCGAAACCAATCTTTCATCCAGTTCCTGAGCAGAGACGACTCGAGGAAGTCGAGACTCTTTCTGTTGGAAATAATTCATTAGGATCCACCTTTCAATCCAAAGGTTTCATCTCTTTAAGAAGGAAGAAGTGAAACCAGAATACCACACTGGGTCCATTCATCAAAGTTCAATCCCATAACATGGAATAGTACCTATAACCATTCATAAAAGAATAAATGTCCAAAAGAGTTTCATATATATGCCTTAATTAAAATACAGGCTTTGTTTAAGGAATTTATAAAAGGCCAACGTAATGGAAACAAAAGCTACAATATCCAAAAAAATAAGAGCCACAGTTCTGCGCTATCCTCAAAGCGGGCCCGTTGGAGGGCCTTCAATGAAAACATGTGCGATATTTGAAAAATATTCCATAAAGGGTGAGCTAACGCTCAATAGGGTCACTCCTATAGAGAATACCTCCCATCTCAAAATGCATATGAAATGTCACATGCAATATTATGTTATTCATTCATTCAAATATATTTATCATAAACAAATGTCATAAATCATGTCATGTTATAAGATGAGACTTATGCATGCAATACCAACACCGAGCCCCATTCCGACTCTCACAACACATGCAATATCATGCGTATAAATCCAAACATTCCAAGCCCCCGCCATTGTGTTATGTATACACAGTGACTAATTAATTCATTTTTTGTGTTTTTATGGCATGATGATTTGTGGTATTTCACCAATGGGATACCACACCTCAAACATATTTTTAGGACATTTTACCCGTGGCTCTATCTTCCCAATTGCAAAGATAACAAACCAATCCGAAAATTAAATTTTAATATATATATATATTTCATACCTCTCTTTTGATCCATCATAAACATCTCATAGTCAAGGATCAAAATTTTGTTGCAACACCAAATTAACTCATTATAGTTTCGATTGTTGCAATTTAACCCTGGTATCACTTAATTTATTTCTTTTTTCCAACGAAACTTTAATACTTTAATTTATCACTTAACATCCTTTTAATAACTTTCAAAATTATTTTTTGACCCCCAATATTATTCAAATGCAATGCGATGAATGACAGGGTCTCACAACTATGCTCTCCTAAATAAAATTTCGTCCCTAAAATTTACTTACCTGATGGAAACATATAAGGATATTGAGCTTTTCATATTCTCCTCAGTTTTCCAAGTAGTCCCCTCAGCTGAGTGACTCCAACACAAGTCCTTTACTAAAGGAATGGTCTTATTACGTAATACCTTCTCTCGACAAGCCAAAAATCTGCATTATCTCTTCAATGTAAGTGAAATCTTCTTTTAGGCCTCAGAGAAACAAAACCGTGAGGGTGTATGGGCACCCAAAGCGGATAGTATCTTGACAATTGGGGCTAGTCGTTACATGTGGTATAGGAGAAAAGGTAATAAACCTAAGGTCAGGCGTCATTTTTGAGCTTGGGATGCTTTGGTTTCTCTAAAGTATGGTGTTTGGATGGTAGATGGTGATTAATGACATGAGGTCCATGGGAGTTTGGAAGGATCCAAAATTGATACGAGTTACATAGCCAAGCTGGTTGAGTGCCCAATGTTAAGCTTTTGATGTGGAATTACAGATGTTCATGAACATTGACAAGTAACTTCTGTTGTTTAACCTAATATGTGGCAGAGTCTTCTAGAATTTCTCATTCCTTCCAGGAAGCCAAGTGCCATACTCAAGTCGGGTATATCAACTTGGCAACTCAAGCACTGAATCTTAGCCACCATGTGATATACCCTATTGATTCCCAAAATATAAGCCTTGATATAGTCATGGTGGACATAGTCAATGGTCGTATTCCTGATATAAAGTGGCTCCATAGGCATTGCTCTTGATTTTCACTTTAAGAATGAGGGATATCAGAGTTATTTTACATAGGGAGCAGGGAAAAATTGCTGGCAAGTGAAGTTCCTAGTTGCATAATGTAAGGTCAGGAACAAAATACCTTGGTCGCATTCACATATATGGGTTTCCCCCGTGCCTCCCTGCCCCCAGGGTGTGTCCTTAGGTCTTGTTCTTGATGCTCACTTTAAGAATTTTGGACATCATATTTGTTTTATTTAGGGGGTGGGGTCAGGGAAAAATTGCTGCCAAGTGAAGTGCCTAGCTGCATAGTATGCAAGGTCAGGAACAAACTGCCTTGATTGCATTTGCATCTGTACCTCCCCCCCGTGGGCTGCCCCAGGGTAGTTTTGGGTTTTTTCTGTTTTTTTTTTTTTTTTTTTGGGGGGGGGGGGGGGGGGGGGGCG